CAAAGCCTGATCATGCTGCTCACAATACCTAGCATTTTGCTATTTAAGGCCTCTTTCACACAGGTGTTCCGTATGTCTGTTTTTCATCTATCCTTTTACGGATAAAAAGTGGACACCCACGTATTTCTATGGACTAGCAGATGTAAACTGATGATCATCCATTTACATCCATTAATGTCCGTATCCGTTAACATCCTTTTTTTGAACAGAAGAAAACCCTATTTTTCTTCCATAAAAAAAAAATGGAATTGGATGTAAACGGACAGAAAAGGGATATAAACAGATGAAAAAACTGATGTAAACTGATGAATAATGGATGTAAACTGATCCGTTTTTCCTTTGAAAAAACGTGACTGAACTGGTGAAAAAAAGGAACGCCCGTGTTTAAAGGACCCTAAGGGTAAAAAGTTCAATTTGGTCTCACCAACCTAGAAAATCCTGTCATACAGATTTACTGTGTCTCCCACATTTTTTGTCTAGATCCAATGAAAACGAGATTTATTTTTAGCTTCAATGCACACTAGCCTTTTTCTAAGCTCCTAGCAGCTACCTATGAGCTTTTTTTTTTCTGCCCCTAGAAGCAAATAGTGTTATTCTATGTGTCCATGCACATTATTCTAGGCTAGAACTGTTTTTCAAGCTTCAGCTTTAAGGAAAATAAAAAAATGCTTTTTTGCATTTTTGAGAGCAATTTGCCAGCAGAAAAAATGCTAAACGCTCCTAACAGCTTTTTTTTCTAGCTTTTTCTTTCCCTGTAAAAATGCTAATAAAACATTAATGCTCCTAAAACGCTATTACCAGGATTTTCTTTCCAGCATTTTTTTAGCTTAAAAAAACCGCTAGTGTGCATGGACCCTTTTTCCTGGCAATCTTCCTACCAGCTTATGTCATTAACTTGTTTTGTCTTATTTGTGTTAATTGTTTAAAGTTATGTTTATTAGCTTAAACCTGAGGCATTTCAGAAATGGGTGTATTTATTTTAAGATCACGAGACACTTTAATTGAACACCCCTGCCCTCCAATCAACTAATGTTGTAACTTCTGAAGGCAATTCCTGCACCTCAGCTTATTTAGCTTATTTACAGCATTATGGGCTATATTATGTACATGGGTGATCAAAACATTTGAGGTTGTCATATTGCAAAATGTGAAAATGTGCGTATTGGGGCAGGAGGATACTTATGTTGTTTCTCCTCATTCAAAGAGGTGAAACATGGATGCTTCACCCAGAGATTAGGATACAGCTCACGAGTGGTGTATCTACATTAGGAGGTTACTGAGTTAGTCAGCTAATTCCCTTAAAGATTCAAAGTGTAAATTGGCATTGCTTATTATTTAGGCACTGCCCATTTACACTTTTAATATGATCTTGGGTTGTTTTTAGAGAGGTACACCTATTTGATAGCTGCTGGGAAGTTTTTTTGGGATACACTTACCAGTTTAATTAGGTGCAGCTGTTTCTATTGTATAATTTTATTTCCCTTAAGCTATTTTCACACTGATCTGTAACAAAAACGTATTAAAATGCATATGCATTTTTGCTACTTTTTACTGTGTTTGTGGTGCATTTTACAGAAGACTCAAAAACTGCATAAAAAATGCAATGTGGGTGTGTTTTTTGATGCATTTTTGCCATGTTTTCCATGCACTTCACTTTACTAAATGCAGCAGACCTGGAATGGACCACTGTGAAGAGTTCCATAGGATTACAAGGTCACACGTTTTTTCTTCCGCTTTGTTAACGCAAAAGCAGACGAAAAAACTGATCAGTGTGAAAGCAGCTTTAAAGATTCTTACACGCTGGTGGTGGAGGACTTCAATTAAAATGTTTCTTGCTCATTGAAGGACACAGGATTCAGAGACATCTGGTTTATATTGCCAATTACAAGAAGATTTGGACACCCCTCACACCGCCATCATGCCTCCATTTTTTGTTAATGTCCTTTGAGGATGGATGCTTTTCTCTATTGAGAAAAATGTAAATGTTTTACTGGCTTTCATCTCTGCGAGGCATGTCATTGAACTGGCAGCCTGGTCTTACACAAGGACAAAGTGGTATTAATGCTTTCCTTCCCAGGCTGCTTTTTGCCTTTCACTTTTGCCAGAACATTGCACATCATCCCTTTGACAGACCCTAGTACAGTACACCAGAAGACGTCCTTATGTTGCCTTGATGTAGCGCAAGTTTGTGCATCACCACTACACAGACATCCACCCCACTTAGCATTCCTCATACTAAACCTTCCTCAACGCTTTCCTCTTTTGACCTCGCTACTACCGAAGAGGTCACTAAGGTTTTCTCAGAAGCCCGCCTCACCACCTGCCCCCTGGACCCTGTCCCCTCACACCTCCTTCGGTCACTCTTCCATCCTATGCTCCCTCACTCACATCTTCAATCTTACCCTCTCTACTGGTGCCTTCCCCTCCCCTCTAAAGCATGCGCACATCACTCCCATACTTAAAAAAACCCTCCCTGGACCCCACCAACCTGAACAACCTAAGACCCATCTCCCTACTGCCATTTACCTCTAAACTCCTATAACGCTTAGTCTACAATCGTCTGAGCTCCCACCTCACCGACAACAACCTTCTCGACCCTTTACAGTCTGGCTTTCGCCCTCTACACTCCACTGAAACTTCCCTACTAAAACTGGATGTCACTCCACTTCCTCAAACTCAATCTTTCCAAAACTGAGCTCTTAGTATTCCCCCCCAGCCTGTGCCACCTCCATTGACTTCACCATCAAGATCGATAACACAATCATCAGTCCCTCCCCTCATGCCAGGGTACTAGATCGGTTAATCCTAGACTCCCATCTGTCCTTCCAGCCCCAGATCCAATCGCTGACAAAATCATGTAGACTTCACTAAGCAACTTATTCACTCCCTTGTCATATCACGCCTCGACTATTGTAACTCCCTCCTCATTGCCCTACCTCATCGCAGGCTATCCCCACTTCAGTCTATCATGAATGCTGCTGCCAGACTCATCCACCTTACTAACCCTACTGTATCTGCCACCCCTCTCTGCCAATCCCTCCACTGTCTTCCAGTTGCCCAACGAATAAAATTCAAAACACTAACACTGACATATAAAGCCGTTCATAACACTGCCCCAAATTACATAACCGATCTTGTCTCTAAATATCACCCAAACCGTATTCTCCTCTCCTCGCAAGACCTCCTACTCTCTAGCTCCCTTGTCTTCTCCTCCCATGCTTGTCTCCAGGACTTTTCCAGGGCTTCCCCCCATCCTCTGGAACCCCCTACCCCAATCTATCAGACTATTGCCTACTCTGCTGACTTTTAGGCGATCACTGAAAACCTATCTCTTCAGGGAAGCCTATCCCACCCTCTGCTAATACTGGAATCCTCTACTCTTCCAACCACTCCATCCCCCCACAGTTATTACCTATTGTACCATTAACCCCCTCCTCCTAGATTGTAAGCTCCAAGGAGCAGGGCCCTCAAATCCCTCTTGTATTGAACTGTTTTGTTACTGTATTGTCTCCCACTGTAATGTAAAGCGCTGAGCAAACTGTTGGCGCTATATACATCCTGTATAATAATAATAATGTCTTCTTCGCACCCACTGCCTGCATTAGAAAGACTGACTCTTTTGTAGTCATTGATGATGATCTTCACAAAGAAACCAGCTTCTGGTTTCATGATTTCTCTATGACTCAGACCTTTTCCCATCAAGACTCACACTACTAGATCTGTGAGTGCTTCTCTGGCCTTTTGGCATTAGGCAACTGTTTCCAGATTTGCAAGATTGACACCTGGTCTTCTGTTCACAACTTTAACCAGATGGATGTTCAGGCCTCTTCTGACACCTGCTTTGGGTGTAAGGTCCTTCAGGCAGCTCTTTGAGCTGCGGGCAGTCCCCATTTTTTGTTTATTTATAGTTGGGCCTTTTGGCCATTTTTTTGCCTTGTTGCCCAGCCCTCTATTGGACTACTTTTGAGCATCCAAAAAGTGTGTCCATCAAAGAAAAAGAAAGAAAACATGATTTTTGTACCCACCATAAAATCCTTTTCTTGGAGTTCATTGAGGGAGAGAGGTCACACTCCTTTAGGTTTATTTTGTTCTTGGCACTGCTACGTTACAAAATTGAAATGTTGGGAAAAGGATGGGTTATACCAGGTGGGTCACATTTTTTTTTGTCAGAGTCCAATTCCTTATGTAGTGGCATTATAACCCATTTAACTCTGGATTCTGTGCCCCTCAATGAACTCCAAGAAAAGGATTTAACAGTGAGTACAAAAATCATTTTTCTCAAAGAAGTAGTATGCTTTCATATATATGCTCACTTCCAGTACCTGGTTCAATTAATCAGTCATGGTGATCACAGGAAATGATGTGAAAAAAAATTCACTGCCTGCTGTTCTATGTCCCTTGTCTCCCTACACAGCATTTTGAGTTATGGAGAGAGAAGATTTTGTTTTGTACATTTTTATAGAACACTTATTGAAGAATCAGGCTGCGCTGTGGCATGATTTAATAAATAACTAATGTCATTAATTATAAGTGATGTGCTTAATATTATATTTACCGATGTAATTGTTTATAGCCATTACATGGCAAGTGGAAAAGTATAGCAGTTTGAAAAAAAATACTGAACTGCACACTTGTTTCTCAACCATTTTACCAGTGTAGTACATCATAAAACTATTAAACTATATGTATATGTTAATGCATGTTTTCACATTCTTAAATGTATAATGAAAATATGCATGCCATTTTTTTTTTTTTTTTTTTTTTTTTTTTTTAAGTAAATACCAAATTAAAACCTTATATGTCCTGTTAAAACTTTCTAAAACCGCTAAAAGTATATTACTAAGTAAACAGGCGCATATCAACATTTCAAAAATTGATCTGACCTAAAAGGGTTAACCTTGCTAAGACTGAAATAAGTTTTTGTGTAATCATAAATGTAAGTTTAAAAAGGGACAATAAAGAGATTTATTAGTTTAATTAAATCGATTTTATGTTTTGCAGAAGCCAGCAAACATCCTTGTAATGGGGGAAGGTCCTGAGAGAGGAAGAGTCAAAATAGGTAAAAAAAAAAAAAAAAGGCATAAATGCTTTTCTAAATGTTTTTCTAATACATGAATATGTATCATCAGAAGTAAACAGCTGCTTATTTTAACGATACATTTTAAAGAACCAGTGAAACTAAAACTAAATATTTCACACTGAAGAGCAATTAAAACATTCCTAAATTTGTACATAAAAAGACTCATGCCTACATAAAAATGAGATCTTTAAAGTGGTTTTAAAGTCTAGGTGTTTTTACCTTAATGCATTCCCTGAGTTAAGGTAAAAAAAACATCCCACTACTCCTGTCCAAACACTTTCCTGATCCTTTCATGATCCAGCAATGTCCCTGCTGGCAGCCCGGCTCTACTCCCTTCCTGGATTCACAGGCTACACTGAGTGCAGTGGGAGCCATAGACTCCCACTGCTGTCAGTCAACTCTTGTAAGGCAGGAGCAGGGATCATGGGCAAGCTTTGCGGTGTGTGTCTATGGATGTGCACAGCCCAGCCCGGGAACATGCTAGAACGGGTGCCCCATAGCACAAGGCTTGCTTTGGAGACACAGATAAAAAGGAGCAGAGAGTGCCGACAGGGGACCACCAAAGAAGAGATAAGGGACTGCCCTGTGCAATATTGTTGCACAAAACAGGTAAGTATATCATGTTTTTTAATTTTTATTTTTAAAAAATTACTTTATTATCACTTTAATATTTGTTACCTTGCTGTATATGTTCAGTAAACAAATTATGTAACTATTTTATTACTACACATACCATATTGTAATGTAATGTTATTAAACATTATCTTTCCATTTGAATCCATAAATGCTGCAATTTCCTAAAAATGGTAAACAAATACATTTTACCGCAAAATTATAACAAATCTCTCTTCTTGATTATGTAATGGCTCACTGCTGTTGACAGCAGTATGTGTTAAAATATTGTTGTTGATTTATAATAAGGAATATAAGGAGGCTGTTCATCTATGTTCAATTAGTGAATATTACTAAAGAATATCCTTCAAATATGATTGATTATTCAGAGTGAACATGGCTTAAATTTTTTTTCTTACTAGCATACTCTTTGCTAGGTGAACAACATCTATTCTTTTAGGAATTCAGCCCTTCTGAGTCACATTTTGGTCATCCCCTAAAATGATATTTTAATTCTTGGTGAGTTAAGCAGTCCTGGGTGGAAGGAAAGAAAATTGCTTTATTCCCCCAGCAACACAGTCAATGTTGATGGGGGAATCCCTCCTGCAGGGCTATTTGTGTTCTGCTGGTGGGGAGCCTTCCCTGCCAGAAGAACACAATAATCACTGCTGGCAGCTACAGCTATTGGTGGTGGTGGCGGCATGAAAATAGTCAGATAGGCTGGTTGTACTAAAGTCGATTGATAGATCGACTTAAGTACAACCAGCCTGACCATAGATGGATCGAATATTCGCCTATCCCTGCTGAACCAGTTGAGATTAGATCCATCTATGGCCAACTTTACTCTCTCCTCCACTTTTGAAGGAATGGGGTCACTGCAGCTGTTCACTCTACAGCATTGTGATTTTTCAGGTGATTATAAGGCAGCCTGACCCTCCCATTCAAAAATCCATTTGAGAAAGGCCATAAACAAACAGTAATTTCTTCAGAACAGGAAAAAAGTTTGATAAAGCCCTTTATGCTAACCGAAGGGAATTTTTTTCCTCAACAAACTAACTTTACATTAAAAGAGGCCAATTCACAACATGCCTGCAGCTGAAATGCACAGGAATGCGATGTGCATTCCTGTGCGATTTACATGCGGTTCTGTGCAGTTGCACCACACCAAAAGTAAACACCCTGCAAACTTTTGTACCATGTGATCCGGTGCAGGAAAGCGCAGCTGTTTGCGTCCTGCGTTTGGGGGTGTCATTAACTTTTTTTTTCACAACTGCTGCATATCGCAAATGTACTGTGGGCATGGTGTGAACCGGTCCTTATTCAGATGAATTACTGGTCAGGAAGGCATCACCCCTTGCCATACCATTGTCACAAACATGAGTTCTGATAACATCTTGAAAATGTAATATATTATTCCTTGTTATTAAAACAGATTTGTTATAAAGAAACTTATATATTTACATATTTATAAACTTAAATATTTGTGTGTTTGATCTTCCTAATTTTCAACAAACCTAACAACAATATTTCACACAGTAATTATTTTCTTTTTAAAGCACTGTACTCGATGTATAGTGGCAAGAAAACAATATGTGAACATCCTTTTGAATTTACTGGTTTTCTGCAGTAATTTGCCATAAAATATGATCTGATCCTCATTTAGGTCATAATAGACAAATACAATGTGCTTAAACACAGAACTTTTCTATAATAACATGATAAAAAAATAATGTTCTTTAGCAAGAAACATACATTTATGTTGTAAAGCGCTGCATAAACGGTTGGCGCTATATAAATCCTGTATAATAATAATATTTCCACATTAATAATTATGCTACCAAAATTAGTTTGTAAATTGCCTCCATGTTTACTCCTGTTTCTCCTTGTTGGAGGTTGTCATTTTGCTGATGCCCAGAGCTCCTGAGCAGCAGGGTGGATAAAAATCAATGATTTTTAAAAAAAAAATGTAAAAAAAATCTGATTTTTTTTTATTTAAATTGGATTTTTTTAAATAAAATGCTTTTTGAGGAAAATATATTACCATCCAAAGGTTATTCCATCATGAAATAAAGATTCGTTTTTTAATTATGTAGAATAAGGCTGTATATGTTTAATTTTTTTGGTAAATAAATGCCATTAATCCATTCACAATGTCATGCTCTTCCAGAGGTTTTTGTAAGATTATTGGGCAGTTTCTCTGCCTACAAGATATTATCACAGATGCTTGGTTTACTTTTGCAGTTGTCAAAACTGAATTTGACTCAGCGGAGATCACGTGCCTCTTCTTCACAGCAAAAATGTTATAACATGAACAGAGTTAAGAAAAAGACCTTAATCCTAACTTCTACAAGCCTATGAATACAGAATCAACCCCTTCAGTGCTAAGTTTCAAGAAATTCAGTGAATAGAATAGAAACAATATTTTTCTGATTGTTTGGAATGGAATAGATCTGCAAAAGAAGAAAGTGAAACTAAGTGTGCGGAGGAAGGGGCTGACAGTCTTAAGTTTCTTAAAATATATATATTTTGTTTAGCCAAATTAGTTAACAAACATGGATGTTTGTTTAAGCAAATAACAAATGCTGGAATGTTATTGTTTCAGTTGAATAAATCTATTTAAATTGTTATTATTAAGGTAATGATTATTTTTCTCCTTCCTAAATACAACAGAAAAGTTGTCCAAATATGAATGATTAACCTATTAAACTGGGGATAAAAAAACTAATATGAAAAAGTTGTTATTCTAAAAATCTTCATCTACTTGCATATTAAAGTTATACCAGCAAGAATTAGTCTTTATGTAGAAAACTATGATTTAAATCAAGCCTTACTGACTAGTGATTTAAATTGTGATTTAAATCAGTTTGATTTAAATCAAATCCACCCTGCTGAGCAGCAACAAATATTTAGGTTGACAGCAAATCTGCCACTAGTGACCCTGATTTTCAGCACAGTGCCAAAAAATAGAGCAACTGAGCATGTGCAGACCAGAGTGAGACAGTGTGTTACTGGATTTCAAACAGTATAGTTACCTATCTTTAATGCTATACCTGCAAAGGGGACCAGCCTTAAGTGATCTAGCAAGACTTAATTTTCTGAGTAACGTTCCACTTTAAAGTGGAGTTCCATGTGCAAAAAAAAAAAAGTCAGCAGCCACAAAGCGCTGCTCTTTGTGAATGGCACCTGTAGTCTTCTGGGACTTGTCACGTGTCCCAGAAGACTACGGGGAGGGAGGGGGGGGACTACAATTTTTGCCTCCGATCGCAGCAAAAGTGGGAGCGGGTACCTGTCAAATTCACAAATTCAGGTACCCATTTGCCCCCCCCCCCCCGCTGCCAATTTTTAATGGGGTGCCAATCCTTAATGGGGAGCGGGGGACAAAAGCTTGAAGCGGAACTTCCCATTTTGGGTAGAGCTCCGCTTTAAGCTGATAACATAAACACAGTTCTAATGCACCCAATCTCTTATAAGATATTATATTAGGCCTAGTACACACACATGAGAAAATCAGATTACCTATCATTCAATTTTCTACAAACGTGCATATCATGATGTAGTCAGAAAATTTTAAGCTGACAAAGTCAAACATAGCTACGTACTAGCGTAGTAGAAGAGGAAGTATAGAGTTGTAGTATGTTTCTGATCAAGCACATTTTTTTTCTCTTTGATTATTTCAGTACGATTACTGTACACATTAAATGATAATCGAACGTTATGTTCATATTGCATAAAAATTTTCTAGCTTGTACCCTTGGTTTGCTGCCGTCTGAAAAGTCAGAATTGGCTGTGGCAAGCACTATACTAAAGATCAGATAATTGGCTGATCATGCCTCATATGGAAATGTTCGTAAAATTTTCTTAAACATGCAATTTCAGTATTTTCAGATCTGCAGTTTTTATTGAAATATCTTATGATTTGACCATGAAGGTACATCAGGCACTTCCTGTGCTGAGGTGACAAGGCTCTGTCCCGGTCTCCTTATTGTGCTCCTGTGTTGTCAGTCTATCGCGTCTGTTTTACTCTACCCTTCAAGGAGCAGTTTAAATAACCATTATGAAGCTATAGCTCGCTGTTGTCACCATCAGGAAACCCACGATGAGAATTGCTATGCAGCTATCGCTGAAGGGCATGCATGTAGACAAGTGGCTGCAAAGAGACTTATGGATATTAACAGCAGTGAGATGTGAAAAATGATGATTAAAAAAAGCTACAAGTACATATTTTATTTAAAAGAAAATACAAATATTTATGATAACCAGTGCTTTAGCAAATAACATTTATATAATGCAATCTGTAAATAGCATTAGCCCAGCAGTTTTTGTTTTTCTGAGCCCCTACTGTGACATAGTTTTATTTTCTCTTGATC